CCCATCCATCTATCTATCTATCTATCTATCTATATATATATATATATATATATATATATATAAACCATCCTTATTCATTGGCCTAAGACATTTGGTGGAGAACCAAAACTCACCCAGTACAGAGGAATTTTCTACTTGCCCCAGATGTAGTCAATCAGCCAAGACATGTTTGGTCTCCAAATTTAGCTTCTTTAGTTTAGGACTTGAGTTACAAAGCTAATGTTGCTAACAAACACCAGACATCAATAGCCACCCAAATTTTTTCCATAAATACATTCCTAAAACTGTGTGTACCTGAACAGAGCCATTTTAGACAGCAGGTGCTGAATTCTCACCCAACTTCCCTTCACGTTCATGCGTGTGACACTGACATTCAGACTTTAGATTACACTTGTGATTTCCATTGTTCTGTTTATAAACATATATCTTCAGTTTGAAAATTCTAGTTTAACCCATAATCTAGATCCTTTGCACAACAATGCAAACTGGCGAGTTATTCTTAGGTTACAGACGTGTGTAGTAAAACTTTGCACCCACCAGTGGGTCCTGGCCATTTAAGGGGTTTACAGCATTCATAAAAGGAAACAACAAAATTCACAGAAGTAATCTGTTGGGTCTACATGCCCAAACCACACTGAAAAGTCTGCGCAACCTTAAAGCAGCATGATGTGAGAATTGGTATTTTTTGCTCTTGGGCTCCCCCTACAGTTATGTATTGTATTTCACTGTAACACCACAGTCGTAAATACAAATCACGCTTTCAGCGCCCCTCATGGACAGCTATGCCCACTCATTTGTTGATGAGCTGAAGGATACAGAATCCGACTTCCCTTCACATGCACATGCATCTCGCATGCATATGGACGCTCCAGATTACAAATGCGATTTTGGTTGCTTCTATGTGCAAATAACCGAAATCGTCAGTGTAATCTGTAACATCCATATGTCTGCATGATGCGTGTGCACACAAAGTAGATTTGGAATTCAGCACAACACCAGCAAAGACAATGCCAGAAGAGAAAGAACCATGTCAAGTTACAAGGTAGAGTAATGTTACGGGATTTTTTTAGATTGTGAGAGTGTGAGATTGACAAAGACTGGCCAAAGTTTTTGGCGTGAGATGAATTTATTTCTTTGCATACTAGCCTGAAACAGGACTGGGTTAGATGACTTTTGGCATCCAGAAAAGCTACAAAACTCTGTGAGAGAGGGATGACACAGGTAAGGTTACAACCTACGTTGCATTCTTTGCATAACTTTGACAGGGATGCACACCCTGCTGTCAAATTCTCTTTGTTTTCCTGTTAGCCGTGAGACTGCCTCTTATGTCTTTTATCTCTTGCCAACAAGTAAAAGCCAGTGCCATGAAGTGTTACATACTTCTCGTGAGAGATCTCCTCCAAAGTCTCATAGCACTATAACAGGTGTTCTGGGCCCAAGGTGGCAATGACAGAGATGCTATTCTCACTATTATTAGTCAGTGTACCACCAAAGTGATTTTGAAGCTGTTATTTTAAGGTAAAATTGTTACATACTGTTGCTGAAGACCAGGAAGCAGTTTGAGTGGGTTCAGAGAAGTGTCGTGGACGTATTTATGAAAAAAGAGGAATGCTGGCCTTGTAGCGTTAAACTAAAGACGCAACATTTGACAACAAACCATGTCTTGCCTGATTGATTACATCCGGGTTAAGTGGAAAACTGCACACTTGATTTTTTTATTATGACAGTCTCTTGAACATGATTTGAGCGTAAAATCAGTTCTCCACTCTGTAAATGGAGACTGATTATAAGGGAAATATTTTTGAACTTAAACATGTCACACTTTGTTTACAATAAAACAAATGACTGGTAGCTAAGCCTTTCTTAAGAAAATCCCCAAAAAACATTTGTAAAAAGTCTAGCACATTTTGTGGATAAACACTTGATCCCTGTAAACTGCTATATAACGTGAAACAGAAACACCAATATTTCTCAAGTGCTGTTCCTTCCCTTCCAGCATTACCTCATTTTACCAAACTCAGCCAAGGATTTCACAATTACTACAGCATTCTCTCCATTTCAAAGAAATGCTCCAGTTTCTCTGTAGCGCCCTGGCTTCCACTGGTGCTGAAATCTCCATAATGGATTGTTTTCTGATGCCACATTCACAGCCTCCCTCAAGGCCAAAGTGGGGAATTTTGTGGAATTTTCCCAGCAGTTATCACAAAATAATGGCCTCCCAGTCATACAGCAAAGCTCCGTCATGGTATTGTGTAGTCTGTTTTGCAGGTGTGTGTGTCTGTGTGTGTGTGTGAGTATGTGTGTGTGTGTGTTTGTGTGTATGCAGATGTACAGTATTGTGCAAAAGTCAGAGACCACTCTTAATTTATATAATTTCCAGTTAAACTGGCCATGAGTTATCCATTTTTCAGAGTCAGGAAAGAAGCAGAAAACATATTTAACAGAAAATTAAACAACTAAATATAATATCACAGTGTTTCACACCTCCAAAGTTCAGTCTTAGAAGTTGGTTGCATTTTCTGCTTCTCACAATCCAACTAATCCCAAACACATTCAGTGATTTTGAGGTCTGGACTCTGGTGTGGTCAGTTCATTGTTCTAAGAACACCAGCAGCTTCTATGTTTGATTTGCAGATTTTCTTTTTTTGTCTGTTTCCTTTTTCTCAGTAACAGCTTCTTGTCAGCTACTCAGTGCTGAGTTGTCTTCTCACAGTGGAAAGATGGACAGAAACACCTGTGGATTTTTTTTTATCTCAAGCAAGAGTGGAGCTTGATTTTCTCCTCTCTCTCAAAGATGAAATCTTTATGTACTGTTTATCTGATGGTGACAGTTTTGGTAGACTCCCATCTTTTAATAATTTTTTTAAATTCCAGTTTTGCAGTCTCCAATTTTTTCACTTATTTTTGCTTCTTTATGACAGTAGACTATTTTACATTCACTATCCTGTAATGTATTAATCTAACAGAATAACTCCAACTTAATGGTCATTTTGACTGGAAATGAAAAAAAAATGTTGCTGTCCAAAAAATGTATCTCCATTTTTCGATTTTATTTTTTTTATATAATTTAAACTGTAACTGTCCTTCACACTGTGCAAAAACATTCACAATGAACGGACCAATAAAGTTTTTTTCTCTAACACACAATGAAGTGTCGTCTCTGACTTTTGCACAATACTGTATTCAGTGTCAGTCTGTGTTTATGAGAAGTGTGGGTCCACCATTCCCTGTAGTCTTCTATAGACCATTTACAGTAACTGCAATGACATCAGAAGTGGGTATTATAAGAAGTGCGTGTACACACATGCACCAGCATGACCATTCTCCATCTTCCTGTCCTTCCACAGCTCATATACAATAAGTAGACTCAACAACATCAGATATGGGCAATATAGTTTGTGCTGAGTGTGTGTGTATATGTGTGTGTATACGCATGAGCATGGGGGCAATGAGTGCCTGCCGTTTCCTGTGGGCTTCCATAGGCCCTATACTAGATTCAACAATGGATAGTGTGGTGTATGTGTGCATACACACGTATTGCCAGGGCAATCACCAGAGGCCAGTGAGGAGATGAATGATGATGAACGAGAGGTGCTACGAACAGTGTGGGCAGTCACGTAGTATAGCATAACATGGGGTAGGAGAGGGTAGCTCTAGACCTCCAAGGCCATGGCAGTGCAGGGCTTAATGACAGGCTGACTTAACATTGAGAAACTTCCAGGGAACTTCTATGAAACTAAGTTTCACTTGCGGTTCATAATGCAGAACCTCCTGCAATTCATTTGAAACTGGTTTGATACTCTGGTAACAACAGCAGCTGCCTCAACATCGTAAAACAACACTGATGACGTACCAAAATGCTGATAGCCCTCTAAAGGCGTCCAACAATAGCATTTCAACTCAGATTTACCATCAAGGTCAAGAAAATAAAAAATATATTTTACATGTTATGCGTTATATAAAAAATAAGTCATTTTTCATTTTATCAATAACCTGTGCCATGGCAAATGCTCTTTAACATGACAGCTGTTTGAGCCAGCGCTGAACATCTGCTTGAGCCAGCATTTTTTCTACTTTGTTAGTTCGAAATCTATATATGTATGTGTGTGTGTATACAGTGGAGTCCAAAAGTCTAAGACCACACTGAAATTAATATTTTTTCTTATTAATAAAAATTAATAAAATTTATGCCCTGCTAGATCTGCCACGGTTAACTGTAAGTGCTATTATTGTGAATTGGAAATGTCTAGGAGCAACAACAGCTCAGCTATGATTCAGCAGACCACACAAACTCACAGAGCAGGACCGCTGTGTGTTGAAGTGAGCACCATGTAAAAATCACCTGTCCTCTGTTGCACCCCTCTAATGAACCCACATGCCTTATGGTCACTTCAGTATCTATATAGTGTGCGGATGTGTAGGAGCGCACACTGATTTCCACTGAACTGAATGTCTGAGTGAAATTAAAACCATCCATCCAGAGTACTTCAGTTCATAGTGTTCTCAGAATTGTTGAGTTTGTTCTACTGAACTGTGTGAAGTGGCTTAACTTTCTGGTAATAAACACAAAACTCACTTCTCAAGACTTATTCCAACCCAGTAGAAAACTCACAGAAAACTCTCTAACTCACTGCAGAGTTCCAAATTGCCTCTGGAAGCAATATCAGTACAAGAACTGTAAGTTAGGAGGTTCATGAAATGGGTTTCCTTAGCCAAGCAGCTGCACACAAGCCTAAGATCACTATTCGCAATGCCAAGAGGTGGCTGGAGTGGTGTAAAGCATGTCGCTACTGGACTCTGGAGCAGTGGAAACGTGTCCCCTGGAAAGATCAACCAGGATTCAACTGGCAGTCTGATAAATCTGGGTTTGGTGGCGGCCAGGAGAATGCTACCTACCAGAATGCATGGTGCTAGTAAAGTTTAGTGGAGAACAGATAATAGTCTGGGCTTTCAGAAAAAGGTTGTATGGATTTGTATATAAATATAAATTGCTGGCTTACCAGAGAGGCAGACTCTGGTGATGGGGGGCTGGGTGGTCGCAGGTGATCTCCTAAATGGAGAGAAGGTAAAGGATGCACAATTGTAGTGGGCTCCAATACAGCACACATTTTGCAGGACAAAAATCTGCCATGTTTGAAAGCAACAGTGAAAGTGTGAGCGAGCGTGAGAGTGTATTTAATGTGACTAGAAACTGACACACTAAAGTTTCTTTCAAATTCATAATGACAATGTTAACCTCAAAAAATATATATAAAAAAATATATAGCAAATATCAGCCCAATGCAGAGTTTATATGAATCCAATATAGTACATCATTATCTGCATTTGAATATTGCACAGCATGCTTGTGCACTACATCATAGACTTGATTTGCTATTCCCTTCAACATTTTTGGACAATGCTGCTCTCAGGGTATTCCAATGTTTCCAGAGAGAGACGCCAGAGGCAGAGCTTGATTCGATCTCCATCTGGGCCAGTCTGGCCTGGACGGGCTTGAACAGAACCTAACAAAGGCCTTTAACAGAGCATCCTAATTGGTTTGACGTAGCTTGTGGTAATTCAAAGGAAAAATCAGCCCTCTGCTCAATAAAAGAGAGGAACCACCTTTTCTGCCTTGCCAGGTGGAAAAATGTGTCACTGAGGGGCATCGAAGGACACATGGAAAGTCCTAAGCAGGCAAATGCATTTTGGCTAACATTTAAGGTTTTTAACTGGTGAAGCGCTAAGTGGGAAATGGGCTGAGGAAAATGTCAGACTGTCTGTTGACTATGGCTGGCTGCAGCTCTAGCATTTGTCTATACTGCCCTCTTGTGGTGCAATGAAGAAACAACTGCTATTAGATGTTCAACAGATGGAAGACACATAAAAATAAGGAATAATTCCTGAAAAATTGCCCACTTTTCAGTTTGAATGTATTTTAACAGTTCAATATTACTGAATATGTTAAATGATAAGCCAAAAAACATACTTGTTTGAGGTGCACTGTACATTAGTGAGGACTGTGAAATTGTTTCTCACACTTCGAAGGCTGGCAAGAACCTGGACAGAAACAAAGAGAGTGACTGATAGCACTGTAATGTTTGATGAGAGCAAATTAAACAGTTACACAAGGAAGTGACCCATTCATTGCTGAGTAATCACTCTAGTGATGTTAAAGTGACATAAGATGACATTTACCTGAGCAAAAGGTGTGACGATTAGGTCATCCCCATGCCTGCAAATGAAACAGGATATGGCGTTATCCTCAATTTTGAGCTAGCTTTGCTAAAAACAAAACCACATTATGCAACAGTAATGATATCACATATGATGTCAGTCCTGAGGGTTGACAAATGACAGTGGACTCATTGTCAAAGAATGGCCCAAAACAGGGTGTCAATGACCGAGAACTCTAAATGGCATAAAAATGGGTTACAGAGAACAATCCGCCACAGTTCCTGGGGTCCAAAAGCAATTTGGCTAATAAGACTTCAGTGGGAAATGTGCTGTTACATAATAGCAGTCTGTCAGCGCCAGCAGGGGCCATCAGAGGAAATCAGGCCACATTGAGACAGGCTCGGGCGTGCAAGGCCTTACTTACCCTCACTCAGCACCACACTCAACTGCCAATCAAGCCTTTTTGAGGCTAATTTTGTTTTACAAACTCTACAGAAAAATGCTCATTCCTGTTAAAATGCTGATTACAAGGGCTGTCATGTACAGTACCAGTCGAAAAGTTTGGACACACCTTACTGAATGCATGTTTTTCATAATCTTGAATGCACTTGCGTCTAATGCCTTAAGCTTTAAAGCTTGAAATGGGTTTCTAAGGCACATATAAAGTGCCTTACAAACAGGGAAGTTGAAGAAGTAAATGTAAGCAATGCAGAGAGCAGCCTGATTGGAGTGGTGTCATTGATCTTGACACCATATCTTTTTCATTTGGTTCAGTTGTACAAATTATATATTGGTCAGGCATTCTGCAGGACATGAGCGCTCTGCTACTCTCACATTTGCCACCACTCGAGCAAAAAACTCCTTCTTTGCATGAAAACAGCACAAACCAATAAAGACACTTAATGTCTATATGTATCACTGTCATAGCAATAATAATAAACCTTACTTGATATCTGTTTTATGATTGGTTCGTCAATTTAAATGTAACCAATCAGGTCACTGATGCAATATGTTCTATCACCAATGGGGCAAAATGAAGGGCACTGCTTCACTATTATTTTATTACTCGTCTGCCATTGTTTGCAGTAGCTCATGCAGAAAGAAAGACATGAGCGTCTGTGAAGAGTCAGCCATTGAAACTAGCCGATTATGTGGACAGTGCAGCACTGACCAGCTGCTAAAACATGTGAATCTGATGTGAATTCCCTCTTTTGGTGTGGACTATCACAAAATTGCATTCCTACCAGCAGCGAAATGAACCAGGATTTATTTGGAAGTGACTTGAGGCCCTTGATTTTTGTTGAACCGTGGCCCATTCGTTTAGTGCGCACCTGAGGTGAAGTGTTTACACCGGACAAAACGGACTGAGCTATTGAAAAAGTTGATATGCCTACCAAACGTGGTAGGTGTGAAAGCACCCTAAGACACATGTAAATAGCTAAGTGAATGTATTTCCAAAATAAATTACACATTTTTGAAATGAGCCCGAAGTAAGTAGCTTTTGTTCTCAGCATATATGGCACTTCTTCAGTGCTGTTGGAAAAACATCCCTAGTTACTCCTCATAAAGCTGCTTGAGAGAAAGCCAAGTGTGTGTAAAGCTGCACCCGGGAAAAGAGGGGCTAGTTGCAGAATCTAAAACACTCACTAAATTAAACATCCAAATCCAATTGGACAGTTCAGCATCACAACCGATTAACGCATATTTTAATGTGTCAGTATTGGCTATATTTGTCTGATAATTTGTTAAAGGCAAATTCCACCAGCTTTTCAAACGTTTTCCATAATTCAGTAATCTAGATGTAAACAGCCATTTCGAATGGCTTGATGTGAAATGGTTCACTGTAGAGAAACAGATTTCTTCACAGTAGTGTGATCAGAACAAGGGGTCACGATGTCTACAACACAAATTAAACCATTTTATTTACTATCCGAAACCACCCATGAATCTGCATATGTCTTCTGAGTTCTTACATGTAATGTTGATGGTGAAATAGTGGTGAATCTAAAAAAAAGTTTTCTTTGGGGACCATTTTGCCATATAGCACCCTGCACGTTCCTTTTCACCCTGAATTGATTTTAAAAAATACATTTTAGGCAAAAACCTTCTCACAATTGTTATAAAACATTGTATCAGGACTCAAGCAGCATATTCATAACAATTTCATGAAATCACCTTCTATGAGGGAGCTTTCAGAGGCATTAAACTCTTGGGATGTCTGGTTCCTATCACCACCACTGTGAAAAATTCTGACTCAGTACAATTTAGAACAGAGCATTTCACATCAAACCACTCTAAACGACTTTGTTTATATCTTAACCATTTAATTACTCAGAAAGGTTGCAAAATGGGTGGATTTCTCTTTTTCCCTTGACATCAAACACTGTCATGCCAATTACTGGTAATGGAAACATGACACTGTTACATTACTGAACAAAATGCGTCTTGTCAACTCATGATGACAGAAGACTTCTGCCATGACATGTTTATTGCATGGTTACATCAATGTTATGCAGCAGGGCTCAAGAAATGTGTTACCAAAGCTTTTTTAAGGATGCAACAGTGGTTCTTCTATGGTATTGCACAAAAAAAAATTTAGGAACTTTATATATGAGTAAAAATTATAACTCCATGAATGGTCATTTAAAAAGATCAAAACACATCAGTCCATTGTGTGTCACACTACACACATTCTAAAAATTCACTGATTTTATAGTAGCACTAACTTTCATGATCGTGAATTGTGCTCAGTATCAAAGAACTCGGATTGGATTGGCGGGTAAATCCCTACTCTGCATATTTTAATGTGCTATTTCAGCACATTAGCACATGAGCAGGCGTTTTCATACTGGTAATGTATACACAGTGCTGTGAATAATTATTTGCCACCTCCTGATTTGCTCTATTTTTTGCATATTTGTCACACTAAATAGTTTCAGATCCTCATACAAAATGTAACATGAGACAAGGAGAACAAAAGGAAACCGTTTTTAGATGATTGCTTCATTTTCTGAAGTAAAAACGTTTTGTAATGCCTATATCACCCATGTGAAAAAGTAATTGCCCCATAAACTTAACTGGTTTTGCCATTTTTAGGAGCAGCGACTGGAACCAAACGCTTTCTATAACTGGAGATCAGGAAATTTTGGCGCACTCTTTTCTGCAGAACTGCTTTAATTAAGCCACACTGGGCTTTCGGGGTGGCACAGTCATCTCACAGCAAGAAGGGCCTGGGTTTGATTCCCCGGCAGGGTGACCAGGGTCCTTTCTGTATGGTGTTTACCTGTTCTCCCCGTGTCTGTGTGGGCTTTCTCCCACGGTCCAAGTCAGGCCAATTTGGACATGCTAAATTGCCCCTAGGTGTGAGTGGAGTGTGTGTGTGATTGTATACGTCTGTGTGTCTGCCCTGCAATGGACTGGCAACCTGTCCAGGCTCCAGCGACCCAGGGGGACAATCGGCTTTAGATTGTGTGTGTGTGGACGGCTTTCAAGCATGTCAAGTCAGGAGTCTGAGTAGGCCGATCCAAAGCCTCAATTTTGTGTTTTGTGAGCTTTTCAGAGGTGGACTTGCTTCTGTGCTTCAGATCATTTTCTTGCTTGCCCAGGCCCTGAAGTAAAAAAGCATCCCCACAGCATCACACTACCACCATCATGTTAGACTGTTGGTATGATGTTCTCATTGTGGAATGTGGTGTTAGCCTTTAGCCAGATGTAATGAGACCCCTGTCTTGGGACCTCAGTGTGGTTCACCGGAATCCCAGAACTTTAGAAATGGCTTTGTATGCCTTTTTAGACTGATACTTTCTTTCTAAACTCTTTTGGAAGTTCTTTTGGTCATGGCACGCTACTTGTTGAGACTGTTTAGCCTACTTCACATTACTGGAAAGATTCCATTTAAGTCATGTTAAGATTCAACAGGGCTGTCAGTAGGACAGTCACTAAATTTGGTTAACTGGTTTATTGAGTAACTAGGGACAATTACATTTTCATGATCATGTTAAAACTGTATTTTGTGTTTGCTCAGGTTGTCTTTGTCTTAGGAAATTTTACAATCTGAAACAATTAAACACAGCACTGTGTGTAACCTGTGGAAGTGCATTACGTAGTGTGACAGATGACTCACAGCTCTGAGGCAATGGAGGAGTTGCGGGACATGGATTTGGGCGACAGGTCATAGTCGCTGTCGGAGCGGTAGAGGAAGGACTCTCGTCGCTGGTTATGGCCGGGGAAGTTGGTGTGCAGGACCAGGCCGGAGCCGGGGGAGGCCTGGGGGTCCAGCGGACTGCAGCCTGCCGATGGCCCATTCTCCACATCAAAACTGCAACCACAAACACAACCAAACATCAGTATTAGAAGACAGGAAAAAGCCCCACTTTCTCTGCTGTGCACTTTATCTGCTGTGCTTTATCTGCTGTGCAGTTATGACAAACATTTACAAAATGAATACTCAAAGCAGCAGAAGCAACAGAGCATCCACTTCAGAGTTTACACAACCAATTCAGTCAAGTATACACACTTTCTGAGACTTTCCATGGGCTCATTTGGTTAAATGACAGCTGCTTTAAATCACTGTTCTGAATAGTAGTTGTATGAGGACAGCTATGAAGATATGCAAATCGTCTGTGTCATAACAAAACCTTTGAGTTTCTTTTTTTTTGTTAAACCACTTGGAAACACCAGCTGTCCTTTAATTGTGTGAACATTTCATGAAGAATGAACCAATATAAAGATTTTGTTGACAGTGATAGATACCAGGTATACAAGGTATTGGTACTGGGCTGACATCAGCAAAAAATTCTGTAGGACCAAATTAATTTGGTCCATTCATCTTAAGAGATGACAATTAAACATAGCTAATTTTAAAGCTTTGTAATTGTTAAAGAAGACACAATGGTTCGGTATTGGTTAATTGGTAGATAGTTTTGGTATCGGTATCGGAAAAGAATAAGTGATATTGTGCCACTTTTTAGAAAGTGACGATGTGAAGGAAAGCAACAACTATACTGAACCTGAATTAGTGCTGTGGAAGTCCATTTCTTCAACGGTGTCATCTAAATACTGCCAATATTCTGCTGTTAATTTTGTTATGTTTAAAGCAGTGAAACACTTTTGAAACTATTGTTTGTTCCACCAGATGAAGACCATGTGTAATGTTTAATAATACAGATTTTAAGCAAGAACAGTAGCAGGGATGGGCATAGTGGCTGGAAAAAAAACTATGCTGTTCTGCCAATTGTTTAAATTTGACTTGATAGAAAATTACACTATATAACAACACTATTGTGGCAATAATTTCAGACCAAATCTTTATTGCAGGGCAGTGTTCGCGAGGATAAATTACACCTATCCAAGCCCTTTCAGCCCTTAGCAACTGACATAGGCCTACATAAACATTTATAACTCATCCTAAAAATGTGTCACGTCAACTCAACATCTAGGCTGAGAAAACATCCTTTTTGTCTATAAGCCTTAATAAATGTTTGTGTACGTTTATGCCTTTTGCCATGACAAGCTTATGTAGGTCTCATGTAGCCTTATGAACACAGCCCTACAGTGTACAGTGTTCCTGAATTTTTTCACAAAGACTAGTTATTTTAGCTGATTTTTCACATTGAAAACAGCTAAAATAATAATCTGAAGATGTTATGCTGGCTTCACAAAAGTGGCTGTGGTAAGAAAATCTTAAATGTACCGTTTGTCCTAAAGGGGAAATCCACTGATTTTTCAAAGCTGTTACGTAATTCAATGATTAATATGTAACATAGTCATTCAGAGTGGCTAAAGAAACTTACAGAGTCAGAATTGCTCATAGTGGTGGTGATGGGAACCAGACGTCCGAAGAGTTCAATGCCTCTACAGCTGTGTCCATGAAGATTATTATATGAGATGGTTATGAATATGCTGCCTGATGTCTGATATTGTGAAATATTTTTTTTGGCCTAAAAGGTATTTTTTCAAAAGTGTGTCAAAATAGGCAAAACAGTCCCCAAAGATTTTCAGATTTACCACTACTTCACTTACTACTTACTTCATTTTCAACATATAAAAATCCAGGAGACAGGCGTAAGTTCACTGGTGGTTTTGGATAGTAAATAAAATGGCTTTATTTGTGTTGTAGACACAACATTTGGTTGCTATCACCACTGTAAAGAAATCTGAGTCTGTAATTTTCTCTTCAAACCACTCTGAATGATTTTGTTTACATCTCGATGACTGAAATATGCAGAACTTTTGAAAAAAGTTCTTCTTTAAATACGTACTAAGGACAAAAAGAGACAAAATTTTATCTTCAAAAACATCTCTTAAGAACAACTGCAAGTGATATTCTTGAAAAAAGTATGTATTTAATATTTTCTTAACCTTATGACAGTCTCACACTTTTCTGACTTGACAAGGTAAACTGTAACAAATGCGTTACATTAAATATACTTGTCAAAATAAACCAAGCAGGGTTTTTCCTGTTGACTACTTCCTCCCCAGTTACTTCATGTTCTTCATGCTAAACATTTTTCAGTGTTTCAATGGTTTGATTTTATTTTCCCTTCATTTGCTGACCTCGGACGCTGATGTGATTAAACTGAATACCCAATCAAAAGAAATATGGGACAATTTGTGGTAATCTGTAAAATGTTATATGATACTAATAATCTGCATGACACATGACCTACAGTCTATATATGAAAACAATAGGTTCTTATCAAAAATCTTTTGAGTTGCTGCTTGGTGATTTTGATTTCCACAGCTACAGCGTTAATGCAGATTTATGCTTATACTTATAGGGGAATTCCAGTAATTATTCCAACTTTCTGCATAATTCAATTGTTAATATGTAAACAAAGTCATTCAGAGTGGTCTGATGTGAAACGCACAATTCCAGATAAACTTACAGAGTCAGAATTGTTCACAGTGGTGGTGACAGGAAGCAGACGTGTGAAGAATTTGATGTTTATCATGATGGTGAAGTACAAGCAGGGCATAGTACAGCATGACAGTCCCCAAAGAAAACAGTTTTTTGTTGTTGTTGCTTTTTCAGGTTTACCCCTTTTTACCATCATCAACTAAGCAGGTTCACTGGTGGTTTTAGGTTGTAAATAAAATTACTGTATTTGTGTTGTACACATATGTTCCTATCACCACCATGGTAAAGAAATCCAAGTCAATAAGTGTCATCAAACCACTCTAAATGACTTTGTTTACCATTCAATGACTGAATTATGCAGAAATAAAAAAAACAATGTTTTGAATACAAAAATGCAAAGAATGTGACTATAAACAGCTATAAATATTCAGCATTGCTGTAAGATACAAGGCCACGGTTTATGAAGCAAGCCTGTAATGACTCACAATAAAAACATTTTGAAAATATTTATTTGAGAGATAGACAGAAAAGTTCACACAAGTTTATGTAAGAAGACCCCTGAGACCGGGAAGTTTGGGAAAGCCTCAGAGATTCCCAGTGCTAAGGGTGGAAGCAACAAGGCCTCAGGAAGTCCAGGAGAGATGTGCGGCGATGGCCTCAGCCCACTTCAAACGAGACACCAGACGCGGAAACACGTTACGTATTACCCAAACAAACACTTCTCAAAGTTTCCACCACTGGGTCATGCAGTGTGTTTTATTTCGCAGGTGGCTGAGGGGGGAGATAACAGTGGGGAATGAGAAGTCGATGACAGTTCACAGCGTTGGTGGCCTCAGGCCATGGCCTATGACCATCTCACAGCACGTGAGCTCAGATGGGACTCCCTTAAGTCGCAAGCAGCAGCAGTAGCATAAACCACAGAGGAAGAAACAGAAGAAACAGCTGTGTTAGGAGAGGTCAAAGAGCTACTGTCTGACGTGGTTTAATGTTTGCTTTATATTTAAACTCTAAAACTGCAAAAGTCAAGTTCCTCAGTTCCTTCAGTTCCTCCTTCTTATAACTACACAACTGAATAGTTTACAATATTTACACATGATTCATAGTAGTAACTAAACAATTCGTGGTAGTTTATGGATAATTTATAGTAGTCACTGATAATTCATAGGAGTACCTAAATAATACATAGTAGTTACTAAATAATTTTTGGTATTTACTCATACAACCCTGTTTCCAAAAAAGTTGGGACACAATGTAAATAAATGGGCAAAATGTAAATAAAAACAGAATGCAATGACATGCAAATCAATTAAACCCTATATCTAAATGAAAATAGTGCAAAGAAACTGAGAAATTGTATTTTTGTTTTTTTAAATATATGCCAGTTTGACTTTGATGCCAGCAACACGTTTTAAAAAAGTTGGGACAGGGGCAATAAAAGACTGGTAAAGTCATGTAATGCTAAAAAACCACTTGGAGGAACATCTCACAACTAATTAGGTTAATTCTGACAGGTCAGTAACATGATTGGGTATAAAAAGAGCATCCAAGAGAGGCTGAGTCTTTCAGAAGTAAAGATGGGGAGGACTTCACCAGTCTGCGAAAGACGGCATGGGAACATAGTGCAACAATTCAAGAATAACATAAAATAGCAAAGAACTTGGTGATTTTATCATCTATAGGACATAATATCATTAAAAGATTCAGAGAAACCAGAGAAATCTCTGTATGCAAGGGAGAAGGCTGAAAACCAATTAGTAGTTACTAAATAACTCATAGCACTTACTAGTATTTACTGCATTATTTACAGTACTGACTAAATAATTCAGAATATTTACTGGATTATTCACTGTAGTTACTGATAATTCACTGTAGTTACTAAATAATTAATGATAGTTAATGGATAGTAATTCATAATAGTTACTTGGAATTCATAATATTTACTGGATAATCAGTTTTAAAAGTGCCATGTCCTACATTTTTCTTGTGTTTTATTTTGAAATCAATGTTTTATGTACCGTAATTCATAAAGCAGTCCTGCTCTTCTGGAACATTTCTTATAACTGTGTGGAGCTAAAGTGCTAAATAGGTGCATGTAAAAGCACTGATTTGTGTCACATCATAAAAACAATGAATTCAAAATGGGCTGTTTTTGCAGCATGGTTTGCATATGCGGACCACACAGAGTGTGGAGTAAACAGTATGTTTAGAAACTTCAACAGTGTTTATATACTACATCAAACACTTCAGTAAAGCAAGACCAATTCAGTTTTCCATGAGATGGGATAAGATTAATAACTGAATGATCAGCCTGCAGTTTAAAGTATAAAGTAAATTAGAAAACTGTTTTTTGGAAAATACGAGTCTGTGAGAGGGCTTATCTTCCCCTAGCCTTACAAACAAAAAAGTAGGGGCAACATGACATTAAATTTAATTAAACAGTAAAATCCCCTTATACAATG